CAAACATTGGTCTTTTTCATTCTAATAGGAGTTGAAACAGGACTGTATGTGTTACAGGATTGTAGTACTATTGAACATTTTTGAAGTTTCCTTCTTGCCCTTTAACACTGCTTCCTATGTTTTAAATGATTTTCTGTTTTAAAGAAAACACATGCAAGAAGTGTTTTGGACCATTGGACCCCTAGTCTTTCTGTCATCTTCTTTGTTTTCTGAGACAAATCATCAGATGTTTGTCTATGACCGCACTTTCCTGAACTATAAAAATAGCCAGTTTGTTTTGAGAAAGAGCGAGCAAAGAAATGGTAAATGTATACAGAGATCTGACAACCTGCCTGCGAATCAAAACAAAGCAGCTTGTTTTTCGTTCATTCCCAGCCGTCTATGAATAGCCTGTCAGTTCTCTTTCAAATACTGCCTCAGAAACAGGCTTCAGTTTCTCTCACAGCTGACATCGTTTTGACTTCTGTTTGTTGAGACGGTTTGGCACGTAACCTAAATAAACATTAATCAGTAGCTTTCCCACCAGGCTTTGACAATGAAGATGAAGACAGGCAGTTGAGGCTGTATGCAGTCGATTCGTATCTCTCCCTTCTCGAACAAGACAATGTTCACTTTCCTCAACGTTTTCTTCAGGTTATGAGCTGGGTAAGGGGCACTGTAGCATTTCTGCAGTCCATATCTCCTTTTCCTGGGTTGTCTAGAGTTTGATTCATGTAATTTTTTGTTATTTAACACAATGTTGACTTTCTCCTAACCTTCATCCACCACACAGAAGAACCACCTTTGTTGATGTGCTTGGTTACTTTACTTTTGGCACATTTGATATAGTTTGGGAGTGTTTGCAGTGTTAAAAAATTACTTAATAAAATATCTGTATAAGGAGCAGTTGGGATTACTGGATTGCATACAATTTAGTTACAATTAAGTTTTCCTTCCTTAGGTTTTGGGAGAGTACTCCTATTTGAAATCGGAGACAGGGTATGAGGTGGTGCTTAAGAAACTGGCAAGGTTGCTGGATCAGAGTTCGGTCACCCCTGAAACCAAAAGTTGGATTATGGCAGCCATTACAAAACTGTCAAGCGGCACAACATGCACCGAAACGGCTAGCGCAGTGGCACTCAAATACAGCACCTCCCTGGACACAGTCCTGCGGCAGTGCGCTTTCGAGCTGAGGCACCTGACTGAGGACAGAGACTTGATGAGCCAAGTTCTGCCCCTGGATGCCAGCTGTGAAGATCTAGAGGTATTTCTGTAGCTGAAAATGGAGGCTTTAAAGGTTGAGCCATGGCTCCAGACATAGCTCTGATGTAACGAAAATCTGTGTCTTTTCTCTGGTCCTTTTTTACTAAAGGAAAGCAACTTCAAAGTGTTTTATGCAGAATAGTCTTGTAGTGATTGTATCTTATAGGTATTATACTTATGCTTTCATTTCCTAAATTGTAGCTAGTGTCAGTTCAGCAGTATTCTGACAATAACTTGTTTTCAGCCTCACTTTGAAGTCATTTGATAACTGTCTGGACCTGACAGGTCTTAGAATGCGCTGCACCAGGCAGGCCTCTTTTTGCTCGGAGCAATGCATGCGGCGCCAGGGATTTACTCTTGTGCACTTCCTCCTGTTTGCTATTATCTCTGTTAATGCAGGTGGACACCTCACTGTCATTTCTGGATGGCTTTGTGTCTGAGGCCCTGGCTTCTGGTGCAGCACCTTATAAACCTCATCACCAGAGACAAGAGGAGCTCTCCCAGGAGAAAGGTGCAATCGCCCACTTTAAAGTGTTCAGGCTTACTTTAAAGTCATTTTATAATGCAGTATGAAGCAGGGGAAACGATTTGGGATAGCATGTTCATTTTTCCTTAGTGATCGTTTGTGATTAAAAATGATTGACAAAATCAGAGATTTCTATGTGCTTTGCACAAATACACAATTTTAGTTGTCTGTATGTTAGCTCTTCTACCTACTCTGAACAGTACCTTGTAGACTGATCTCATCAGATCTCAGAAGCTGAGCAAGGCTATGCCTGGTTCTGTTCAGTACTGGGATAGAAGACATCTAAGGAAAACAGTGTAGTTGGACCAGTGGTTGCTGGTGCTTTTCTTGGAAATTAATTGGACAAGAATTTCCAAGCCAGTATCACACTATGGTGTAGGAGGTGCTGTCCTTTGGTTGAGACTAATCCAAGGGCATGAGTACTTGGTTGTTAATGATTAAAGGCCCCGTGGCATCATTAAAATGTAATTGTGTTAGCCCCCATGTTCTGGCTGCATTGCACTGGGTATTGTACAATCTGGTTTACATAGTTTCTCTTTAGACACTCCCCTGTGTCTTTTAACAATATTCCCTTACTTGTAATTAATGATTAATTCCTATGGAGTTTGTGCACCTGCTTCAGAAGGAAACAATAGCTGTTAATATGCAATGGATCTGGGCAACCTAGTTAATCAGTGCAAAATACACACAACAGCAGAACTGACAGCAACTGTGGCCAAGATATCAGGCTTAACCTCTTATATACCGGTTTATATACCATTGGACACGCACATGTGGCTCAAAAGGGTTTTGTGTAACCTACACCTTTTCTGCTTCAGTTACTCATTCTTGAAGTTTGTCAGTGGGTTTTTGTGCTTTCCTTATTGCGCTTCTTGACAACAGTGATTAGCAGAATACAGTGGCATGTGGCCCATTGGGAACTTATACCAGAATACAGATGCTATAGCACTTGCCATCAGGCAAAACTGTATTTTCCAGCCTTGGACATTTTTTCTATCCATATCAAAATTATAAACTGTATTATTTTCATTTCTGACTTTCCATATTCTTTTAAGAAGACAGTGCACCAGTATAAATATTGTACCTCTTCAGAGCACCATATGCGTTTCATATATTATTTTCTTATTTCTGTATATATTCATTTTTTCATTTATTTTTAGTAGATTCATAATTCATAGTAGATAAAACCAATTGCTTTAAAAAGCTGAGATGTGAAAAAATACTGTCTTACCATTTAGTATTTCCTATATATCAGTGATGAAAATAGATTTTTTCCGTGTCACTGTAATGTCATTTGATAGGGTGTATGCGTGGATTTGCATTGATGGAATAGAGAACTTGGGGGGGAAAAAAAAGAGGACAAAAGTAAATTAAAGATGTCAGGTTGCATTAAGATACAAAGGGAGTGCAAAAGGTAATGAGACACGGGATGCAATGATCCTGTCACACGTTACATTAACATGAAAAGAAGCAGCCCACCCTCAGGGTTACCTCTCTTGATCTTGGTTATTTTCATGACATTGCGGAATCCAGAAAAGGTTAACAGACGACGAGATAATCATCCTTTTCAGACAAGCTGTATCCTCACTGCCTTTTTTAGGTTGAGGTTTGTTTAAAGCTTCATCAGAACATGTTGAATTTTTTTTTTTACTCTTGTTTGTTTTCCTTTTCCTTTCAGCATTGAATTATGAGCCTTATTCGCTGTCCTTACCTCTGAGCCTGTCCTCCTGTAGCATCACAGGCAGGCAGTCTCCCTCAGGCCTCTCTCTGAGCTCCGGGCTCTCGGGGAACAGTGCAGAGATGGCACAGAAGGGAAGGTATGTTTAGGGCAGCATGTGAGTTAACATGCTTTACTGAAAGGGAGATGCTGTTTATAAGGATCAGGATTGTGCAAAACCATTTATTCCTCTTACAATAGAGGCAGCGCTAGGTGCTGTTTGTTTTATATACCTTTTCAAGTTTTTGACTGCTGATTTTAAGGGGGGTGGGGAAGCAAGTGATAAAGAAACATTTTGCTCATAATGAAGGCATTCTAAGTAATAATGCAGAGGATAGATGAAAGAAAGCAAAATTAAGAAGCAGGTAATTTTCAGACTGCGCTTCAAGCTGAATCGTTTGATTTGCAGTTCCAGCACCCTGAAGCTGGAGGGGGTGAGGAAGGTGTGGGGTAAAGAGGGGTACCTGCCTCAGAAGGAGGCTCCAGAAGAGAGTACATTGAAGGCTTTGTCCAAGCCCACAAGAACACCAGCTCAGTCTCCCAGCATGGAGGGAACAACTCCACAGGAGTGCAGGATCAATGAGGCTACACCAGAGCAGGACCAGGAGAGGCAGCAGCTGGCTTCATCCCTGTTTGTAGGGCTGGGATCACACAATTCTTTGTGCCTGGTGAGTGGACCATCAAAAGCACTTATTTTGGAACTTAAGAGCCCAGTTCTATAGTCCATTGCCAGATTTAGTCTGGCCTCTGAGACAGAGGGAAGTGAGCCTATTTCTTATTCCTCTTGTGCTGGTATGAGGTTCATCAATTGGTGATTCCAGACGTAGAAAGATATGTAAAGAAAACAAAAGGAAATGCAAATGAGCAGAGCCCTTTAGGCCTATCTTTTTTATTGATTT